TATACTATGTCAATAACTCAAAGAAAAAGTGCTGCAAAATAATATTAATAGAGACCAAAATGTATTTGGTAAATTTCAATTATCCATTTCCTAAAAAAATGAAAATAAAGTCTTAGTGAAATATAAAGCATACATACTTACTCTCTGAAAACTTATTCCAAGAGAAAATGGCACCTAGCACTCCTATATTTAAAGTTGGAAGGAAGGTCTGTTCAAGGCAGTAACAGAGACAATGAGGAAGATTCAAAGGGCGCTACACATAGAAGTCAAAAGTAACAACTGAGAAGTGAGGACTAAAGAAAACTTAGAAAACAGACCAGTAACAGAGACAATGAGGAAGATTCAAAGGGCGCTACACATAGAAGTCAAAAGTAACAACTGAGAAGTGAGGACTAAAGAAAACTTAGAAAACAGACATTGCACAACATAAATATAACAGAAATCTATGGACTTCCTATAAACCAAAACAAACCAACAGTAAAATATTGGGAATACATATATTTTTCATAATATAAGCACAATAAAACTGACCAAGGAATAAACAGAACAAGAAAAAGAGGTATACTTAATTGGAGGAAACTAAGTAAAACTTTACTGATGGGCATAAAACAATGATGTGAATTAAGAAACACTTCTAGTCTGAATTTTTCTAAAAATTTTTTTGCTGTTAATGCATTTTGAATAAAAATCCCTTTGGGTTTTCTTTTCTAATATTAGAAAAGTGACTCAAACTTTCTATGAAAAACTTAACTGAACAGCAAGTATGATCAAGAACAACTGTGAAAAAGACAGAATGAGGAAAAACTGATCCTCAGTTAGCTAAATGCTTAATAGCTAAAATCCTTCTATGATGTGGTCCTGACATAAGAACAGGGAATACAAAGGAAGAAAATGAGTCTTTTGGTTCCAGGAGGATGAATAGTGTTAAGAGAGAAAAGTTAACGAAAGAGCTACGACAGAGAAAATTAAATTCAGTGTCTTAAACAGCAGATAGACTAAAGGGTTACACATGAAAAATTAAATAAAAAATACCTAGGAGAATATAGATGAGTGTTCAGCAGCTAGTAGCAAGGTAGAACATCAACACTACAAGCTGCCAAAACAGTGGAGAGATCAGACTTATCAAACAACTACTGCTTGGTATGTGGCTCATGTCTGTAATCCTAGCTACTCAGGAGGTGGAGATAAGCAGGGCTGTGGAGCGAGGCCAGTCAAAGGAAAATGTGAGACCCTACTGGAAAAATAAAGCAAAAAGGGCTGGAAGCCCAGGTCAAGTGGTAGAGCACCTGCCTAGCAAGTGCAAGGCCCTGAGTTCAAACCTCAGTACTGCCGAAAACAAAACTAAACAAAATTTACATCTTAATATTAATTAGTATCTTAAATATATTAAGGGTTTGTAAGCATAAAGAAACAAACATGGAAGCCAGGTGTGGTGGTACATGCCTATATTCCCAGCTACTCAGGAGGTAGAGGCAGAAGGATTGTGAGTTCAAGGCCAGCCTAGGCAAAGTTATGAAGACTATCACAAAAACAGTAACAAAAATACAAACAAAAGGGCTGGGGGCAAGGCTCAAGTAGTATAGCACTAGCCTAGTGTGCAGGAAGCCATGGGTTCAAAACCCAGTAGTAGGGGAAAAAAAATGTAAAAACGGCAAGGAAGGAAACAAATGCACTCAGTGAATAATAAAGAAATGATTATATAATGATATAATGTTTAACTGGTAATCCCAATTCTGACCTATACTAAATCAGTCAAGGATGCTGACCACAGGGTTATTTGCTACTCCCTTTTCCCCAAGAATTGTACAAACAATGAGGCTAAATTTGCTTAAACAAGAATATATATATAAAAAGGAAATAAACCAAAGGGGACTTAGTTTTAGGTAGTGAAATTATGAGTGCTGTTTTTCTTCTTTATACATTTGTAGCTGTCTAATAAAACTTTCGTATGAATACATTTTACTTATTTTTTTTGGAGGCACTGGGGTTTGAACTCAGTGTCTCATGCTTTCAAGGCAGGTGCACTACCACTTGAGCCACTCCTCAAGCTACGTATTACTTTTATAATTAAAAAATGTAAAATTAAACATATTTATGATCATTTTTATAAACACAAGTAATGAACAGAATTTTGAAGTGTCAACAAATAAAAAAAGCTCACTCTGGTTTGTAAATAAACTGCCTTTGCACGCAAAGCTCCATAAGGCTGTCTAGATCTGCTAATACCTTAATTTAGTATAAAAGTGGAGCTTACAAAGCTAGTCATTACTGCTTAGATTAAATCTTCATTTTTTTCCTTAAAAGGATCTTGATTTTAATGACTACAAAAGGGACTGACTTTCACACAAATTCATCTAAAACCATTTCAATGAATTGCATCAGGACCTGTGCTTAACAGGAGTAGCTTGAAGAAAAGAGGCAGTTCACATTATAACATCTTTCTTCCCCAGTGAATATTTAGAACAGAATGGATTTAAGACTGGTTTATCTATGTTAAGTTTTTACAGAGGAAACTTCATTTAGGTGTTCCAAGTAGGAAAATGAATAGTCTCCAAAAGGCCCTAAGGAAAGGACAAAATTCTCTGAAAAGTTATCTAAATATATTTACTGATAGGAAGTGAAACCTCTCCTGTGATTAAAATTTGTTTAAGCAGAATATACAGCTACACTCTATTTTGCTTTCTTTAGACAACATAATTGAACACCCCTTTTACTAGCTGTTTCCTAAGATGCACATACTTTTTACTTTTCTACAGTCTTTCTACATTTTCCATATCTCTCAAATGATGCTTTCCAGCAAGAGTACTCAAAACAAGAGAATGACTTGACGTTCCCTTGTGCTTCTGTCCTGTGGAGACACCAAGAACTCTCTTCTTAGCCAAAGTTTGTTCTATGCTGTGTCTCCTATGATGTCCACGTTACCTCCGTGCACATGTAGTAACATATGTAAATGAATTCATTCTCTGGGCAGTGAGCATGTTTGTCCATGTTAAGTGGACATCCCACCTAAACTATAAAGCGGTGCTTCTAAGTACTCTCTAACGTTTTCTACCATTAAGTCTTATTTCCCTCAAATGTAACAGGTTTGTCTTCTCTCCTGTTACCTGAGTCCTAGTCTTGAATTTGTATCTTAACTAGTTCTGACCCTTGGACAGTCACTTAATTACCCTTAATATTAAATTATATACAATAGGCACTGGGGGAATACAACAGTGAGGAAGGTATATTCTTAGCAAAATGTGTTCCTATACTAAAACACCAGACTCAGATACTTTGTGTATAAATAAGAGGCATAACCACTGGAATTACTGAAACTGTTATTTCTTTCCTAGTCATGCTATTATCAAAACTTTCTCTTACCCACTACTTTCTTTGTGAACTCTAGACTCTACAAATCACTTCATTTGCCTCTATTGCTCCCTACTGTTCTGCAAATGAACTGCTCAAGATTGGAGCATTCACTACTCTCAAACTTCTTTCATTCAGGAAAAACCACAGGCATTTCTTAGAATTTCAAGGAAATATTCAGAATAATATTTTGGGAATAAAAGCAAGCTGCGCCCAGGCAGGAATTGTTATAAAAATGTGAGCTGCTCTCATGGGCCAGCGTCACTTCAGCATGTGAGGGTGCTGCTTCTCTTGGCAATAGGAAGGGGTGTGCAGTGGAAGCAAATCACTTTGAGAATTTGCACATGGCCTGGGTTCTCTCTTTAGTCCATTATGGAAATGTTGTACTTTCACTTGTCCAATTTGTCTTTCAGGAATACTAGCAGCAAGACATCTCTGGCTAATTAGTTTCTTGGCATTTCCTACAAGAGCCAAGTTGTGTAATTTTAGAGCTGAAAAGAAACCTCATGCACCTTCAGTTGCTTATTTTACAGATGGCAAGCAGTTAAAAGCCTTGTCCAGGCAGACAGGTTTATGGACAGAATCTGTTCTCTTGGTCTTCAACCTAGGATTTCTTCCCACATCACACAAGTTTGCCTGATACTGATTTATTTTTTTACTGAATTCAGATGTGCTTCTTTCAACTTTCAGAAGGGCATCTCTATTTTAATTAACTTGAATGCGATTAATTAATGCTTATTATAAATTGCTGTAGGGTGAGAGACTGAACAGCTCTGTTCCAACCTTTCTAAAGAAAAAAAAAATCACAAGGTCTTCTTCAGTTTAAAACTTGCTTATGTCCGATCTTTCCTGAGTCGTTTTTGCAGCAATTTGAGTTTCCCTTGGTGTGACCCTAAGATCTGAATGAGGGTAGAAGGTTTTCTTCCTTGTCAACAGTGCAGATCCTGTGCACTGTCTCACACTGGTTAACAACAGAATTTCACAATTTCCTTTCAAGCTGTGTTTAGTTTGCTGCCTTGACATCTCAATAATCAGAAGCTTTTTAGTTTTATTTATTCTGACAAAATAAATTCTCTCTTTCAAATCAATTATAAAAGTGTTAAATAAGACTGGATTTAGTACCTATTAACCTTTCTCTATACTTTCATGTATTTAAACAAATAAATTTATTTGATGAATATGTGCAAGTCACTGGTCTTTCTTATCTCTGAATAAGTAAGTCACAACATTCTTTGGTTGGCATGTCAAATTAAACAGTTTTGGAATCATGAAAGAGCTTTAAAAAGTCCCAGTAAAAAATTGCTTCATTTTTTCATGTGTTGACTTACTTATTGCCTCCCAGTGTCCCTCTAACCCCAGACACCTTCTTCCTGAAATCCTTAAGAACTCCAAAGGCATCCTTTTATTTACATTCCCACACCACTGTCCTTCTGCCTCACACATCCTGGGAAGCTCTGGAACAGTCCCCTGTTCAGCAGTCCTGCCCTGTATTGCATAACACCACAGTCACAGAGCAGGAAGGAGCTTGGAAGATGACTAACTGCAATGCCATGTATCAGCTTGATACTTACCAACGATCGGACACATTGCTGCTGTGGCCAAGTGTAGCACATGTAACATATCACAACACACCTCACACACAGAACACTAACTTGTATTCATCATAGACCTCCTGCTTGGGGAGCGAAGTCTCAGGGTGTTCCTCGAGGGTGTTCCGAATCCAGGAAAAGGCATGCATCTGCTGTGCCCGACTAGATGACATGGCGTTCTGATCACTAGTCATAAGATAAAAACACATTTTAGCTGAACTGGATAGCAACTCATTGATAATTTTTGAGCCAGGCCTAAATGTTCCATTAAAAAAAAAAAACTGTATGCCAATGCTGGTGGAGTGGCTCAAATGGTAGAGCGCCTGCCTAGCAAGTGTGAGATCCCGAGTTCAAACCCCAATGGCGCCCCCCCCCCACAAAAAAAATCCCAAAAAAAACCGTATGCCAACACATTATAAATAACCAAACCAAACAGGACACACAGTAGGTTGCAGAAATCTTCACAGCTGTCCATTCATGGCTCTGAGCCATGACTCTAGTTACTGCCTGTTCCATCCCATGACAGTTTCTATCATGGGACTGGGATTGGAGGTGGAGTAATGACATCATCAGGTATTTGTTTGGTTCAAAACTACCTCTACGTGGATGTCTGCCCATACTTGCTTACATTCACCATATCATGAAACTTTCAAAACAGTTATGATGGAAAAAAATGCTTAATTTCTATTTGCTCAGCATACTCAAAGAATGTACTAGGCAGAAGCAGCTACTCTGAGACTTACTAAAATACTGTGTCCAGAATGGAATTCACATGAGAGATGGTGAAAGGGTAAATCTACAAGCAACCCCTCCTGTAAGTGGGCCCCTTGGCCTGGTCTAACACGTCCACTGGACATCTCCTATAAACCAATGCCATGAAATGGGCACTGAGACAGCATGAGGGGAGTGTTCTGCTGATGCTGTTGTCTACCTCAGATACTTGTAAGAATCATTTATTGAATCCCAAACAAGATACCAAGCAAACTGCTAGGACATAAAATAATTAAAATAGCTGTAAATTTTAGGATGAGGTAAGAGAAAAAGGTAAAAGTAACAGAATTTTCATTCTATTTCTTTTTATGCACAATTTTAGAATAGAATGTTTTTTCATATTTTATTTTATTTTTAATTATTACTGCATTGGAGATACACTGAGATATTTACAAAAGTTCTTAAAATATATCATAGTTGAATTCACCCCCTCCCATCATTCTCCTTTATGCACCCCCTTCCTGGAAGAGTTTCAACAGGTCTCACTTTTCCATTTTCATACATGAGTACATATTTCTACCATATTTACCCTCTTACATACACTTCCCCAACCCGCTGGTACCAATCCCCAGACAAAACTTGTTTTACCTCCCTGTTTTCTGTTTTTGAAAAATCACATTTTTGTTTAGGATAGCTATAAAGGGAGTTTCATTGTGACATTTCCATGTATGTATGTGTTATAACCTGAATTGGTTCATCTCCTTGTTTTTTTCCTTTCGACCTTAGTCCCCTTCTTATGCTGATATTAACAGGTTTAAAAGTCCTATCTATATTCATTTGTGTATAGAAAGTACATCAACCATATTCACCTTCTTTACTTCCTAAAAGAATAGAACAGAATGTTGACAGTGACATATGAATGAATTCAGAGAGATATTTAAAAGGGTAAGGAAACTTTTTTTTTTTTTTGGCAGTACTGGCGTTTGAACACAGAGTCTTGTGCTTGCTAGGTGGGTGCTCTACCACTTGAGACAAGTCCAAGTCTTTTTTGCTTTGTTTCTTGAGTTAGGATCATGTCTTGTGTTTATGCACAGGCTGTCTTGGATCATGATCCTCCTACTGATGCCTCTCATGTAGCTAGTATCACAGACATGTGCACCACACCTGGCTTATTGATTGAGATGAGGTTCTTGTTAACTTTTTGCCCCAAACTGCAAACTTCCTGATATCTGCCTCTGAAGTAGCTGGCATTTCAGGAGTGAAACAGTGCACACAGCCAGGAAATTCTTTTCAAACAGAACGACTTAATAACAGTTTCTCTCCACATTTTCTAGATGAGACTTACATATTTTAAATGGTGAAACTAAAGCAATATTCCAAATACTTAAAACAATTTACATTTACCATGAATCACGTTCTATTTCTCTTGGTATCTTTACATTCTGCGAATAGGCTTGCCTGATAGAACCTTAAAAAAATTACTGCATTTGACTCATAGTACTAATACTGGTGATTTTTTTGTTTGTTTATTTTTTCACAATTCCTCATACTGCACAAATATACTCATCTGGTTATAAAACAACCCAAACTGCATTTCACAGTTTACCGGGCTGCATGAATGAATTATTAAAAAGGTAGGCAAATTCTGAACCAAGTATCATCAAAGACCAAAGTGACCTGTTGTTTTGCCATTCTGTTTTCTGATGATTTTAGGACCGTTGTAAAATAGTAACGACCATACCACTCACGCCATACATACATATCCGAGGGATGTTCTGTAAACAGGTAACACAGCGAAGGCAAGAGCAGGTGTACCTTTTCTCTCCATTGCTGAGACCAGAAGGCAGCTGAAGGTAGAGGTAGAGTTTCTCTAGGTCTGTAAACTTCTCAACTTCTTGCTGGGTACAAAGGATTAAAGAGAAAGATGAGTTTCTAAAGCACTCCTTTTCACTCCCAAGTAATCTGACCAGTGTCTCTGAAAGATACGGACTGTCTAACAAAGCCACACAAAATTACCTACCAATCAAAACAGAATCTAGACTTTTTTTTCTCATTTCTAAAATAATGCAATTCAACTGTTTGATACTTCATTGTATATGAAAAGTTAACAGGAAATGGCATTTCCCCATTCTTAAAGGTAAAAAGTCATACATCAGCACTGAGACAAAAGTTCCTCATTTTTAGTTACATTTAAAGAAGGTGGGTTTTATCAAATTGTAGGACAGGTTCTGATCCAGGAACCAAGAGAAAGATTTATTAGTCAGTCTTAGCCTAAACATTAACTTAACTCTGGCAACTTTTAAAACTGTGAAATGTGTGATGTGATCTCTAGATCTTTTTCTAATTCTCAGACATCCAGAACGTGAGGGCTGCTGATGCTACCTGTGCATGGAATGGTGGTTATAAAACCCATGACCTTTCTGAACTCTGCAGAGGCAATTATGCTTTGACTTCAAGCAGTGGCTGTGGTACAGAAGCTGTTTGTAAACAGGGTCTCTACTTCACTGCTCTACCACTAAGTCATTTTTCTCTCTAAATGTATCCTTTAAAATCATTTCTGCACTCCTCATGCTTTCTTTCCCAGCTGAGGGTGCTACATAATAGCTTCAAATGTGTCATAAATCCTATTATAGTAAAACTATCACAGCAAAATTCTGGCAGTCCAATTCAAGCAAAACTCCATTGCAACAGAAAATGTACCCAAATTACTGGCACTCCTGGTGGCAGAATTTACTCTTACTTAATAAAGCACAGCTTAAACATAGATCCAACCTATCCTCCTTTGGCACTATTAGGATTTGAACTCAGGGCCTCACACTTACTAGGCAAGTGCTCTACCACTTGAGCCATGACATCAGCCCCATTTTGCTTTAGTTATTTTTCAGACAGGGGCTCACATTTTTACCTGGGCCAGCTTCAGGCTGATCCTCCTATGCAGCAGGGATTATAGGTATGTCCCATTAGCCAGGCTAGCCTTAAACCACTATTCTCTTGGTCACTACCTCCTGAGTAACTGGAATTACAGGCATGAGCTTCTATGCCAGGCCTAGATCCATTTTTTTAAAAAAAGCTTTTAACTGAGCCTATTCTTATTCTCACCAAAATTCACTGGCTTTTGCTGTAATACCTAATAGATTCACAGCTACACCCTGGGCAGCTCACTCTCAGAGAAAAAATAAAAACAAACAAAACAATAGAAATTCTCTTCTCAACTGTTCCTATCACTCTGCCTAGTTTTCAGTGCATGGCTCTGGAGTCTGCTTAACTTTGTTGCGCACAGTGCATTTCACACTGATCCTTTACTTAGAGCTCTCCTTGCCCCATGTTTTGTTCCGTTTGTTTTTGCTGCCATCACATTAGTGTAGGTCTTTAGCTACTTTTTTCAACAGTGAAGGTGAATTCATTCATTAGTGTATCATTTTGTTTTCTACTATGTTCCACAAATTATGCAGCTATCCTGCAGGTCACAGATCACACAAAGGCTGACACAGTGCATAATGGATGAACAAACAGCACAGCCGTCTCCTCTCTAGGACTTGCAGCCACACTTCCATAATTTAAGTGTCTAACCAACTGGTTCCCCTGCCTCCAACTTTAATATATCTGCTTCACCAACACATGCAGACGGCATAATGAAACCCAGCAAACACAGAAAGAGGAGGGGAATGGGACATAACAGAGGGGTACACTTGTTCATGGTGCACTGGACGCACTCACGGAATGATCACAGCGACATCCACATCTCTGGTTTTGGATATACTGTGTCACTTACTGCAAACATTGCCTTCCAAAACAATGCTTCCTGGTTCATGTGAACACTCCAGCCTTGCTTATCAACAAGAGTGTCATATGGCAAGTATGTTAAACAGAAGATTATGCGATATGCTTTGTGAAGATTTAGTTTTTAGTTATTTATTGGTGGTAATGGGGTTTGAACTCTGGGCTTTGTGCTTGCTAGACAGACGCTCTACTACTCAAGTCATGTCTCCAGCCACACCACTCTTTTTTTTTTGGGGGGGGGGAGGCAGGGAACTGGGGTTTGAACTCAGGGGTTCACACTTATAAAGTGTGATTTGTTATTTTTGAGACAGGGTCTTGCTTTATGCCTAGATCGGCATACATGATGATCCTCTTATGTATACTTCCTGATAGCTGCGATGACAGGTATGTGCCACCACAAGCAGCGTTGAGATGGGATCTCATGAACTTTTTCCTGAGCTGGCCTCAAACTGTAATACTCATAATATCTGCCTTCTGAGTAGCTAGGATTACAGGAGCGAGCCACAGCACCTGGCCCTGCTTTGTGGAAATTTAAATATCAAGAATAAAAGTTTTCTGTTCCATGTTGAAATTCAAAGAGAAGTATGTTTAGAAGAAAGGATAATGGTACACTACAGAAAGACCAGCGGTATAAACTTTTATGAATTCTATGTTTTAAATCCAGCTACCAAAGAAAAAAAGGTCTGGATACGTGCTACAAGAACCTTGGAAACATGATGCCAAGTGACAGAAGTCAGCCACAAATGGTCTGTATGGCTTCGGTGAGATATCCACAACAGAAAAGTCACAGGCAGAAGCCAGGGATTTGAGGTGAGGGAGCATGATGACCACTTAGTGGGAACAGGGTTAATTTGGGGCGGGGGGTTCGATTGTTTTGGAATTAGACTGAGGTGGCAGTTGCACAACACTCTGAATGCACGAAATATGACCAATGGTAAATTTTATGTTCTGTGCATTTTACAATTAAAAAGCTATAATTTTAACAGAAATTGCATATTTGGCAGATATATGTGAAGACGACCTGAAACTTCAAATGACATACATCAGCATCCCTGTATCTCCAGGCTTGTAAGTTTTCATTTTTTTGAGTTGAAGTACGTTCTTAAAGTTGTGGGGAGGGCAAATATAACGGAGGCAAACTTGTTCAAAGGATACTGTATATACACGTGGAATTATTAATGGATGCTAAATCAAGAATATAATAAAACTACTAAAACTTAAGGCCTAATTTTTTTTTTAAGTGGGACTGTGGTTTGAACTCGGGGCTATGCACTTGCAAAGCAGGTGTTGAACTGATTGAGCCACATCTCCAGTCTATTTTGCACTGGTTATTTTGGAGATGTGGGTCTCTGAAATATTTGCCCAGGCTGGCCTTGAACCACTATCCTTCTGATCTGGGCTTTCCAAGTAGCTAGGATTACAGATGTGAGCCACCAGCACCTGACCATAATTTTACACAGTAAAACGCATATTTTAGGTGTACGGTCCAAGCAGTGTTGACAAATGCATATACCCATGTAGCCCACAAACTCTATGGTGATGTAATAAAACACTGTCAGTACTCTAGAAAAAAAAGTTATGAAAATGGTTTCCGGTTTAGGAGTAACCTCAAATGTTAGCTATTCTGTTGAACAAACTAGGTGATAATTTCATACTAAAATTCTGAGGCTAGGAAAGGGTCCCTCCCTGTAATCATAAAAGCTTTCATTCACTTGTGTTTAGAAAAGAATTTAACTTATTCTCACATTTCAAGTGATATTAACCAAAAGTATATTTTCACTTATAAAAATGGGGCCTGAGCTGAGAAGCCACAGTTAAGAAACAGATAACCCTGATGCTCTCCTCCAGTGACCTTAAGACAGTGACATAACATAACTGGTTGAAAATTTAATTCTAGTAGGTTTGTTCACATGCTCCTTGATATGCTACTTGTTCCTCTATTTGGAGTCCCAACATTCACTCAACAAAACGTTCAGTTATGCTCAATTGGTTTGCATTTACTGATTTAGGACTCAGCTTGCTAGGCAGGTGCTCAACGGCTTGAGCCAGGCCTCCAGCTACTTTTTGATTGGTTAGGTCTTGTTTTTTTATTTTTTAATTTTTGTTGGTACTGGGGCTTGAACTCAGAGCCTTCACCTTAAGCTGCTCCACTAGCCCTATTTTTGTGAAGGGATTTTTGAGACAGGGTCTTGCAGAACTATTTGCCCAGGCTGGCTTTGAAACACGATCCTCCTGATCTCTGCCCCTGAGTAGCTAGGACTACAGACATGAGCCACCGGCACATGGCTGGCTGATCTGGTTAGTTTTGAGACTGGGTCACATTTTTTTCCTGAGTTTTCCTGGAAGCTGATCCTCTTATTTTATGCTTTCTGCTGTAGTAGGGATACCATGCAGGTAACAATGGTATCCCTACTACCCAGCTTCTTCTGTTGAGATGGGGTCTCAAGAACTTTTTTGCTGTGGCTGGCCTCGAATCATGATTCTCCATATCTCAGCCTCCTGCACGGCTGGGATGACAGGCTCAAGACATGGCACCCAGCTTACTGGTTCTATGAAATAATGTTTTTCTAGTAACTGGTATCTAGGTTGATGCTCCTGTTTTGTCCAAATGCAATTCCCCACTTGAGGCAGAATCCTGAATACAAGAGGCAGACAGGAACCTTTTTAATTTTTAACACCCCATTTAATTTTAAAAATTTAAAATTACAAAGCATTTCAAATGCAGTATAGGAAGTAGGGATGTATGTATCACTATCCATATTCAAAAGATGCTAACTTCTGCTATATTTGCTTTTGATGTTTTTGACCTTCTCTTTTATACCTGCACACCTCTATTTATCGCAGCACTGTTTGTAACAGCTGAGTTACGGAATTAGCCTAGGTGCCCATCAATGGATGACTGGGTAAGAAAATATGGCACATATACATGATGGGGTTTTATTTAGCCATAAAGAGCAATGAAATTAAAAAAAAAAGAACACTGAAATTGTACTGTTTGCAGGAAAATGGATAGCAATCATGTCAAGCAAAAAAAGTCTCAAAAAGACATTGTCCACGTTTTATCTCATATGTGGATTTTAGAGAGAAAAGGGCAGAAAAGGACATGAAAGTAAAAGGA